CACGAACATATGTACTTAACGAACATATACTTTAATATATCAGGTAAATTTAGTTAAAACAATATAAAAACACTGTGGATAAGAATATAACTGCCTCCAAGTTGTTTATTTTACACAGTCAGAATCATAGCTTTTGAAACTGGTCAAACTGTGTGTATCATGATTTTTTAAAATTACCAGTTAAGATGTGCGTGAGCAATAAAGTGATCACACCCATTCATTATCATTATGTTCAAAAATAATCTTTAAAGAGCACAAAAAGCAGTAGCTAATTAAAATGTAAATATCTGAAATGCAAAACCAATAATTAAGTTCTTAAAATTGTTTTATTACTATAGACAATTAAAGGAATTTTTCTGTATCACTTACTTAAAATTTTTACAATTTTATATCAACTCCTCATTTACAAACTTTTTTTATTCTGTTCAGTTTTAGTATTTTCTGGTTGTAGACAACATTTGTATTTTAAAATGAATAGTAATAAAATATTATAATAAATAGTAAAGAAATTATTGATCTAGTTAATTTTGACAGTTACAATCAAACGAGTATGCATTTAGATACCTATATTAAGAAAGTGATTGTCTTCCCTACTTTAATTTGGGTGTCTTATAAATATTCTATTATGATGGATGTTTTTTACAAGGTTTACAAAAGAGATTGTGTTGCCTTTATTGTTTTTTGTTGTATTATGTTTATATATAGTGTTTTTGTTTGGCTTTGTGTGATAAATTGTTTTGTATTGTCAGCCTAAATTGTGTTTTGTTCTTTTGTTTTCTACTGAGTACTCTTTGAGTGTTTAAACTCCAGCAAAGCAATGACATACAACTAGTATATATATATATATATATATATATATATATATATATATATATATATATATATATATATATATATATATATATATATATATATATGTATATATATATACATATATATATATATATATATATATATATATATATATATATATATATATATAATATATATGGCACCTTTTTTCAACTCGCCGCTTCCCCCCTAACCTGAAAACCTGTCTAGGCCTCTGATTAGTTTCTAGGATTCTATTGGTTTTTAAAATTTATTTATTTGTTCAAATAGATTTGTCGAGCTTTAATTCCAAAAGATAATGAATCAATGCATGAAACTTGAAACTTTGATAACGGTCAAATTAAAAAAAAAACTAACCTCCACAAAACACAGCCTGTATTAAACAAGGTGGACAGCAGTGAGAGGTAATTATCAATAATTATGAAAAGAGTGGTGACTTATTTAATCTGATTCAACAGGCCACCACCAGATGTCACACATGCCACCACCAGATGTCACACATGCAACCACCAGATGTCACACATGCCACCACCAGATGTCACACATGCCACCATCAGATGTCACACATGCCACCATCAGATGTCACACATGCAACCACCAGATGTCACACATGCCACCACCAGATGTCACACATGCAACCACCAGATGTCACACATGCAACCACCAGATGTCACACATGCATCCACCAGATGTCACACATGCCACTACCAGATGTCACACATGCAATTATCAGATGTCACACATGCAACACCAGATGTCATACATGCAACCACCAGATGTCACACATGCCACCACCAGATGTCACACATGCCACCACCAGATGTCACACATGCCACCACCAGATGTCACACATGCAACCACCAGATGTCACACATGCAACCACCAGATGTCACACATGCCACCACCAGATGTCACACATGCCACCACCAGATGTCACACATGCCACCACCAGATGTCACAAAAAACACCAGATGTCACACAAAACACCAGATGTCACACATGCCACCACCAGATGTCACACATGCAACCACCAGATGTCACACATGCCACCACCAGATGTCACACATGCAATTATCAGATGTCACACATGCAACCACCAGATGTCACACATGCCACCACCAGATGTCACACATGCCACTACCAGATGTCACACATGCAATTATCAGATGTCACACATGCCACCACCAGATGTCACACATGCCACCACCAGATGTCACACATGCCACCACCAGATGTCACACATGCCACCACCAGATGTCACACATGCCACCACCAGATGTCACACAGGCCAACACCAGATGTCACACAGGCCACCACCAGATGTCACATGCCACCACCAGATGTCACACATGCCACCACCAGATGTCACACATGCCACCACCAGATGTCACACATGCCACCACCAGATGTCACACATGCCACCACCAGATGTCACAAAAAACACCAGATGTCACACATGCCACCACCAGATGTCACACATGCAACCACCAGATGTCACACATGCAACCACCAGATGTCACACATGCCACCACCAGATGTCACACATGCCACCACCAGATGTCACACATGCCACCACCAGATGTCACACATGCAACCACCAGATGTCACACATGCCACCACCAGATGTCACAAAAAACACCAGATGTCACACATGCCACCACCAGATGTCACACATGCAACCACCAGATGTCACACATGCAACCACCAGATGTCACACATGCCACCACCAGATGTCACACATGCCACCACCAGATGTCACACATGCCACCACCAGATGTCACAAAAAACACCAGATGTCACACATGCCACCACCAGATGTCACACATGCAACCACCAGATGTCACACATGCCACCACCAGATGTCACACATGCCACCACCAGATGTCACACATGCCACCACCAGATGTCACACATGCCACCACCAGATGTCACAAAAAACACCAGATGTCACACATGCCACCACCAGATGTCACACATGCAACCACCAGATGTCACACATGCAACCACCAGATGTCACACATGCCACCACCAGATGTCACACATGCAACCACCAGATGTCACACATGCCACTACCAGATGTCACACATGCCACCACCAGATGTCACACATGCAACCACCAGATGTCACACATGCCACCACCAGATGTCACACATGCCACCATCAGATGTCACACATGCCACCATCAGATGTCACACATGTCACCACCAGATGTCACACATGCAACCACCAGATGTCACACATGCCACCACCAGATGTCACACATGCAATTATCAGATGTCACACATGCCACTACCAGATGTCACACATGCCACCACCAGATGTCACACATGCCACCACCAGATGTCACACATGCCACCACCAGATGTCACACATGTCACCACCAGATGTCACACATGCCACCACCAGATGTCACACATGCCACCACCAGATGTCACACATGCCACCACCAGATGTCACACATGCCACCACCAGATGTCACACATGCAACCACCAGATGTCACACATGCAACCACCAGATGTCACACATGCCACCACCAGATGTCACACATGCAACCACCAGATGTCACACATGTCACCACCAGATGTCACACATGCCACCACCAGATGTCACACATGCCACCACCAGATGTCACACATGCCACCATCAGATGTCACACATGCAACCACCAGATGTCACACATGCAACCACCAGATGTCACACAAAACACCAGATGTCACACATGCCACCACCAGATGTCACACATGCAACCATCAGATGTCACACATGCAACCACCAGATGTCACACATGCCACCACCAGATGTCACACATGCCACCACCAGATGTCACACATGCAACCACCAGATGTCACACATGCCACCACCAGATGTCACACATGCCACCATCAGATGTCACACATGCCACCATCAGATGTCACACATGCCACCACCAGATGTCACACATGCCACCACCAGATGTCACACATGTCACCACCAGATGTCACACATGCCACCACCAGATGTCACACATGCCACCACCAGATGTCACACATGCAACCACCAGATGTCACACAAAACACCAGATGTCACACATGCCACCACCAGATGTCACACATGCAACCATCAGATGTCACACATGCAACCACCAGATGTCACACATGCCACCACCAGATGTCACACATGCCACTACCAGATGTCACACATGCCACCACCAGATGTCACACATGCAACCATCAGATGTCACACATGCATCCACCAGATGTCACACATGCAACACCAGATGTCATACATGCAACCACCAGATGTCACACATGCCACCACCAGATGTCACACATGCCACCACCAGATGTCACACATGCAACCACCAGATGTCACACATGCCACCACCAGATGTCACACATGCCACCACCAGATGTCACACATGCCACCACCAGATGTCACACATGCCACCACCAGATGTCACACATGCAACCACCAGATGTCACACATGCTACCACCAGATGTCACACATGCAACCACCAGATGTCACACATGCAACCACCAGATGTCACACATGCCACCACCAGATGTCACACATGCCACCACCAGATGTCACACATGCCACCGCCAGATGTCACACATGCCACCACCAGATGTCACACATGCCACCACCAGATGTCACACATGCAATTATCAGATGTCACACATGCCACCACCAGATGTCACACATGCCACCACCAGATGTCACACATGCCACCACCAGATGTCACACATGCCACCACCAGATGTCACACATGCAACCACCAGATGTCACACATGCCACCATCAGATGTCACACATGCCACCACCAGATGTCACACATGCAACCACCAGATGTCACACATGCCACCACCAGATGTCACACATGCCACCACCAGATGTCACAAAAAACACCAGATGTCACACATGCCACCACCAGATGTCACACATGCAACCACCAGATGTCACACATGCAACCACCAGATGTCACACATGCCACCACCAGATGTCACACATGCCACCACCAGATGTCACACATGCAACCACCAGATGTCACACAGGCCACCACCAGATGTCACACAGGCCACCAACTGTTGAAGTGTTACTACACCAAAATTAAAGACAGGTATAACATACACAATAAAATGGATGCAATTGTGTTTAACTATCAATTGCACAGGAAGAAAAATGTAACCTTTAAAAGATTTTCATTCTGTGGCAACTTTCTGTACTTTCTGACACGGTTCTCCTCCATTTGTCGCACTTCTTCCTGGTCAGGTGCCACTTCTGTGTCAGGACTGGGGGGGACCTGATGGCAACACACAACAATACATGTTACACACAACAAATAAACAAAACATGTTACAACAAATATACAAAAAATGTTACACACAACAAACAAAACATGTTACAACAAATAAACAAAACATGTTACACACAACAAATAAACAAAACATGTTTCACACAACAAATATACAAAACATGTTACACAACAAATAAACAAAACATGTTACACAACAAATAAACAAAACATGTTACAACAAATAAACAAAACATGTTACACAACAAATAAACAAAACATGTTACAACAAATAAACAAAACATGTTACACAACAAATAAACAAAACATGTTACACACAACAAATAAACAAAACATGTTACACAACAAATAAACAAAACATGTTACACACAACAAATATACAAAACATGTTACACACAACAAATATACAAAACATGTTACACACAACAAATAAACAAAACATGTTACACACAACAAATATACAAAACATGTTACACACAACAAATATAAAAAACATGTTACAACAAATAAACAAAACATTTTACACACAACAAATATACAAAACATGTTACACACAACAAATATACAAAACATGTTACACACAACAAATAAACAAAACATGTTACACACAACAAATATACAAAACATGTTACACACAACAAATATAAAAAACATGTTACACACAACAAATATACAAAACATGTTACACACAACAAAAAAATGTTACACACAACAAATAAATGTTACACACAACAAATATAAAAAACATGTTACACACAATAAACAAAACATGTTACACAACAAATAAACAAAACATGTTACACACAACAAATAAACAAAACATGTTACACACAACAAATATACAAAACATGTTACACAACAAATAAACAAAACATGTTACACACAACAAATAAACAAAACATGTTACACAACAAATAAACAAAACATGTTACACACAACAAATATAAAAAACATGTTACACAACAAATAAACAAAACATGTTACACACAACAAATAAACAAAACATGTCACAACAAATAAACAAATCATGTTACACAACAAATAAACAAAACATGTTACACACAACAAATAAACAAAACATGTCACAACAAATAAACAAAACATGTTTCACACAACAAATAAACAAAACATGTTACACACAACAAATAAACAAAACATGTTACACACAACAAATAAACAAAACATGTTACAACAAATAAACAAAACATGTTACACACAACAAATAAACAAAACATGTTACACACAACAAATAAACAAAACATGTTACACAACAAATAAACAAAACATGTTACACACAACAAATAAACAAAACATGTTACACACATTAAACACAAAAATTGACACGATGAACGTGCACTTAATTTGTTCTCTATCAGCTCATCAATTGTCTAAAAAAGATAAACTAATAAATACTATGCACATCATTTGTCTAAAGAAATGTAAAGAACATTTCAGTAGGTCACATCATTTTAAAACAAACTTCTAGACAGAACAAACCTCCCCACAAGGAAAAACTTTTTTCCTGGTCAATTTTTCACGGCGGTACCTTGCAGCATGATGCAGTGGTGTGATATTATCCTCTCCTAAAGCTTGGATATCTGAAAAACAAATTATGAGGGTAAACACAAATTGTGAGGCTATCTGAAGCAAGAATTGTGTGTGGATATCTGAGAAATAAATAGTGCGGGTATCTGACAGACTTCTTCGTTCTTAATTTTTGGTGTTGGAAGGGATCGAGTCTCAGCTACCAGAGGGTTTGAGATTTTCTCAAACACGCCTCCAACACAACTAAGTATACGTGTCAACTGGTTATGCGCCATTGAGGTGATTGACTCAGATTTTAGCCCGCTTTTCTTTTTGGATTTGCTTCCATAGCCTTTGTCCAAACAGAACAAACTACAAGGCAGCAGTTGTTTGATTTTGGAGTTGTCTCTCCTAGAAGAGTGGTTGTCCCCAGCTTTACCGACTCAACCAGACTGACCACCTTCTGACAAACAATTTGTGTGTAATTTAACAATTAACTTACCTGCCCTGTGATCCACTAAAATTCTGTCTATGATGTGTAACTTACCTGCCCTGTGTTCCACTAAAATTTTGTCTATGATGTGTAACTTACCTGCTGTGTGTGACACTAAAATTCTGTCTATGACGTGTAACTTACCTGCCGTGTGTGACACTAAAATTCTGTCTATGACGTGTAACTTACCTGCCGTGTGTGACACTAAAATTCTGTCTATGACGTGTAACTTACCTGCCGTGTGTGACACTAAAATTCTGTCTATGACGTGTAACTTACCTGCCGTGTGTGACACTAAAATTCTGTCTATGACGTGTAACTTACCTGCCTGTGGTCCACTAAAATTCTGTCTATGATGTGTAACTTACCTGCCTGTGGTCCACTAAAATTCTGTCTATGACGTGTAACTTACCTGCCCCGTGTTCCACCAAAATTTTGACAACATTTAGATGATTGTAGCGTGCAGCATAATGTAAGGGTGTCAGATTGTCTTCGTCAAACAGATTGATTTTTTTTCTAGCCAAGGGTCCCAAGCTACGCAACAAGATCTTCATGTTTTTTTCATCACCATCTCGAGAACACTATATATAAAATGTGTAAGCTGTTCATCGCATCAAAACTATATATAAAATGTGTAAGCAGTTTATCTCATCAACACTATATAAAAAATGTGCAACCTGTTTATCTAGCGAACCCGATATACAAAATGTGTAAACAATTCCAATCAATTAAATTTAATCTGAAAATAAATTGATAGTTAACTATATTAACTCAGTGATACTCTCATTTGGATGTTAAAAGTTTGTGTAATATGTTTCTTATGTTGGTGGCCATCTGGGCCTCATGTTGGTGGCCATCTGGGCCTCATGTTGGTGGCCATCTGGGCCTCATGTATCTCATGTTGGTGGCCATCTGGGCCTCATGTATCTCATGTTGGTGGCCATCTGGGCCTCATGTAGGTGGCCATCTGGGCCTCATGTTGGTGGCCATCTGGGCCTCATGTTGGTGGCCATCTGGGCCTCATGTACCTCATGTTGGTGGCCATCTGGGCCTCAGGTACCTCATGTTGGTGGCCATCTGGACATCATGTTGGTGGCCATCTGGGCCTCATGTACCTCATGTTGGTGGCCATCTGGGCCTCAGGTACCTCATGTTGGTGGCCATCTGGACATCATGTTGGTGGCCATCTGGGTCTCATGTACCTCATGTTGGTGGCCATCTGGGCCTCATGTTGGTGGCCATCTGGGCCTCATGTTGGTGGCCATCTGGGCCTCATGTACCTCATGTTGGTGGCCATCTGGGCCTCATGTACCTCATGTTGGTGGCCATCTGGGCCTCATGTACCTCATGTTGGTGGCCATCTGGGCCTCATGTTGGTGGCCATCTGGGCCTCATGTTGGTGGCCATCTGGGCCTCATGTTGGTGGCCATCTGGGCCTCATGTTGGTGGCCATCTGGGCCTCATGTTGGTGGCCATCTGGGCCTCATGTACCTCATGTTGGTGGCCATCTGGGCCTCATGTTAGTGGCCATCTGGGCCTCATGTACCTCATGTTGGTGGCCATCTGGGCCTCATGTTGGTGGCCATCTGGGCCTCATGTTGGTGGCCATCTGGGCCTCAGGTACCTCATGTTGGTGGCCATCTGGACATCATGTTGGTGGCCATCTGGGCCTCAGGTACCTTATGTTGGTGGCCATCTGGGCCTCATGTTGGTGGCCATCTGGGCCTCATGTTGGTGGCCATCTGGGCCTCATGTATCTCATGTTGGTGGCCATCTGGGCCTCATGTATCTCATGTTGGTGGCCATCTGGGCCTCATGTAGGTGGCCATCTGGGCCTCATGTTGGTGGCCATCTGGGCCTCATGTTGGTGGCCATCTGGGCCTCATGTACCTCATGTTGGTGGCCATCTGGGCCTCAGGTACCTCATGTTGGTGGCCATCTGGACATCATGTTGGTGGCCATCTGGGCCTCATGTACCTCATGTTGGTGGCCATCTGGGCCTCAGGTACCTCATGTTGGTGGCCATCTGGACATCATGTTGGTGGCCATCTGGGTCTCATGTACCTCATGTTGGTGGCCATCTGGGCCTCATGTTGGTGGCCATCTGGGCCTCATGTTGGTGGCCATCTGGGCCTCATGTACCTCATGTTGGTGGCCATCTGGGCCTCATGTACCTCATGTTGGTGGCCATCTGGGCCTCATGTACCTCATGTTGGTGGCCATCTGGGCCTCATGTTGGTGGCCATCTGGGCCTCATGTTGGTGGCTATCTGGGCCTCATGTTGGTGGCCATCTGGGCCTCATGTTGGTGGCCATCTGGGCCTCATGTTGGTGGCCATCTGGGCCTCATGTACCTCATGTTGGTGGCCATCTGGGCCTCATGTTAGTGGCCATCTGGGCCTCATGTACCTCATGTTGGTGGCCATCTGGGCCTCATGTTGGTGGCCATCTGGGCCTCATGTTGGTGGCCATCTGGGCCTCAGGTACCTCATGTTGGTGGCCATCTGGACATCATGTTGGTGGCCATCTGGGCCTCAGGTACCTTATGTTGGTGGCCATCTGGGCCTCATGTTGGTGGCCATCTGGGCCTCATGTACCTCATGTTGGTGGCCATCTGGGCCTCAGGTACCTCATGTTGGTGGCCATCTGGGCCTCATGTTGGTGGCCATCTGGGCCTCAGGTACCTTATGTTGGTGGCCATCTGGGCCTCAGGTACCTTATGTTGGTGGCCATCTGGGCCTCATGTTGGTGGCCATCTGGGCCTCATGTACCTCATGTTGGTGGCCATCTGGGCCTCAGGTACCTCATGTTGGTGGCCATCTGGGCCTCATGTTGGTAGCCATCTGGGCCTCAGGTACCTTATGTTGGTGGCCATCTGGGCCTCAGGTACCTCATGTTGGTGGCCATCTGGGCCTCAGGTACCTTATGTTGGTGGCCATCTGGGCCTCATGTTGGTGGCCATCTGGGCCTCAGGTACCTCATGTTGGTGGCCATCTGGGCCTCATGTTGGTGGCCATCTGGGCCTCATGTTGGTGGCCATCTGGGCCTCATGTTGGTGGCCATCTGGGCCTCAGGTACCTCATGTTGGTGGCCATCTGGGCCTCAGGTACCTTATGTTGGTGGCCATCTGGGCCTCATGTACCTCATGTTGGTGGCCATCTGGGCCTCATGTTGGTGGCCATCTGGGCCTCATGTTGGTGGCCATCTGGGCCTCATGTTGGTGGCCATCTGGGCCTCATGTACCTCATGTTGGTGGCCATCTGGGCCTCAGGTACCTCATGTTGGTGGCCATCTGGGCCTCATGTTGGTAGCCATCTGGGCCTCAGGTACCTTATGTTGGTGGCCATCTGGGCCTCAGGTACCTCATGTTGGTGGCCATCTGGGCCTCATGTACCTCATGTTGGTGGCCATCTGGACATCATGTTGGTGGCCATCTGGGCCTCATGTTGGTGGCCATCTGGGCCTCATGTTGGTGGCCATCTGGGCCTCATGTTGGTGGTCATCTGGGCCTCATGTACCTCATGTTGGTGGCCATCTGGGCCTCAGGTACCTTATGTTGGTGGCCATCTGGGCCTCATGTACCTCATGTTGGTGGCCATCTGGGCCTCATGTACCTCATGTTGGTGGCCATCTGGCCCTCATGTTGGTGGCCATCTGGGCCTCATGTTGGTGGCCATCTGGGCCTCATGTACCTCATGTTGGTGGCCATCTGGGCCTCATGTTGGTGGCCATCTGGGCCTCATGTTGGTGGCCATCTGGGCCTCATGTTGGTGGCCATCTGGGCCTCATGTACCTCATGTTGGTGGCCATCTGGGCCTCATGTTGGTGGCCATCTGGGCCTCATGTTGGTGGCCATCTGGGCCTCATGTTGGTGGCCATCTGGGCCTCATGTACCTCATGTTGGTGGCCATCTGGGCCTCATGTACCTTATGTTGGTGGCCATCTGGGCCTCATGTACCTCATGTTGGTGGCCATCTGGGCCTCATGTACCTTATGTTGGTGGCCATCTGGGCCTCATGTACCTCATGTTGGTGGCCATCTGGGCCTCATGTTGGTGGCCATCTGGGCCTCATGTTGGTGGCCATCTGGGCCTCATGTACCTCATGTTGGTGGCCATCTGGGCCTCATGTTGGTGGCCATCTGGGCCTCAGGTACCTTATGTTGGTGGCCATCTGGGCCTCAGGTACCTCATGTTGGTGGCCATCTGGGCCTCATGTTGGTGGTCATCTGGGCCTCAGGTACCTTATGTTGGTGGCCATCTGGGCCTCAGGTACCTCATGTTGGTGGCCATCTGGGCCTCATGTTGGTGGTCATCTGGGCCTCAGGTACCTTATGTTGGTGGCCATCTGGGCCTCAGGTACCTCATGTTGGTGGCCATCTGGGCCTCATGTACCTCATGTTGGTGGCCATCTGGACATCATGTTGGTGGCCATCTGGACATCATGTTGGTGGCCATCTGGGCCTCATGTTGGTGGCCATCTGGGCCTCATGTACCTCATGTTGGTGGCCATCTGGGCCTCATGTACCTCATGTTGGTGGCCATCTGGACATCATGTTGGTGGCCATCTGGGCCTCATGTTGGTGGCCATCTGGGCCTCATGTTGGTGGCCATCTGGGCCTCATGTTGGTGGTCATCTGGGCCTCATGTACCTCATGTTGGTGGCCATCTGGGCCTCAGGTACCTTATGTTGGTGGCCATCTGGGCCTCATGTACCTCATGTTGGTGGCCATCTGGGCCTCATGTACCTCATGTTGGTGGCCATCTGGGCCTCATGTTGGTGGCCATCTGGGCCTCATGTTGGTGGCCATCTGGGCCTCATGTACCTCATGTTGGTGGCCATCTGGGCCTCATGTTGGTGGCCATCTGGGCCTCATGTTGGTGGCCATCTGGGCCTCATGTTGGTGGCCATCTGGGCCTCATGTACCTCATGTTGGTGGCCATCTGGGCCTCATGTTGGTGGCCATCTGGGCCTCATGTTGGTGGCCATCTGGGCCTCATGTTGGTGGCCATCTGGGCCTCATGTTGGTGGCCATCTGGGCCTCATGTACCTCATGTTGGTGGCCATCTGGACATCATGTTGGTGGCCATCTGGGCCTCATGTTGGTGGCCATCTGGGCCTCATGTACCTCATGTTGGTGGCCATCTGGGCCTTATGTTGGTGGCCATCTGGGCCTCATGTTGGTGGCCATCTGGGCCTCATGTTGGTGGCCATCTGGGCCTCATGTACCTCATGTTGGTGGCCATCTGGGCCTCGTGTACCTTATGTTGGTGGCCATCTGGGCCTCATGTACCTCTTGTTGGTGGCCATCTGGGCCTCATGTACCTTATGTTGGTGGCCATCTGGGCCTCATGTACCTCATGTTGGTGGCCATCTGGGCCTCATGTTGGTGGCCATCTGGGCCTCATGTTGGTGGCCATCTGGGCCTCATGTACCTCATGTTGGTGGCCATCTGGGCCTCATGTTGGTGGCCATCTGGGCCTCAGGTACCTTATGTTGGTGGCCATCTGGGCCTCAGGTACCTCATGTTGGTGGCCATCTGGGCCTCATGTTGGTGGTCATCTGGGCCTCAGGTACCTTATG